AATCAAATGATTTGTTATTTTCCATTACTTAACTATTACTTTAACAATCTTTGAAGAAACACTACTAGTGAAATTTTGGATAATAAAAACTATAAAACCAGACTGTTGGCAGAGGAAACAACAAGCTGTAAGTTAGAAAATTCATAAACATGTTTTTAGAGTCCTTGATATTTCAGTGATCATTCCACATTATAAAATGTTCACATGTATTCTTTTAAGTCTGTACCAAGTCATGCTGACATTCTTTCCAGATAAGCCGTAACCATTTCTTTTTTAAATGCTATCCATTTTAATTGTAAACAAAATACTTCAGCCAAACTATTTAAGTACTTGAGCAAAAACATCTAAAAAATTTAGAAGACAAGAACAATGATTAAAAACAAAACATCACATCTGAATCATTAAACCCTAAAGAACATGGCCACAATGGTATTACAGTAATGGATAAAGTTGCCCAGCACTTTTAATTATTTTTTGAACAGGATTTAGCATTTATGCCTTGGCAGGCCTGGACTGTAACCATCCTATTTGCACTTCCCTTGGAGCTGAGATGATAGGTGTGTACCACCACACTCAGTTATTGGTTCAGGTGGGGTCTCCTCCACGGTAATCCCGCAGATCTTCGCCTCCTAAATAGCTAGGATACAGATTTGAGCCACTCTTCCTGGCCTATAATACTTTCATTATTAACAACCATCTTTAGTCTCCATCTCATTCTTTCCCCCTGTTAACAGATGCGGCATTCCAAACGAACTCACTGCCCTGACTGGGACAGCAGAGAAAGCTGGGGACATGAAAGCTACAGTGGAAGTCACAAGAGGAAGAGGAGATCTCACAGCAGTACCCAAGAGAACAGACATTGTAAACCACATCACCAGTTTAAAGACACTGATTGGTAAATTACTCTTGAACTAGAAGATTTTAGTCCTAAAAGATTTGTCATTTGCTTATAGTTCTCATATATCAAATTGTTTTAAGATTCAGTAAACAAATATTCATTTAAAAATACTTGTTGAGTGCCTATTACAAGTTACCCTTTATAGGTGCTGAGGCTATAGCTGTGAATAAAACAAAAGTTCCTATTCCTCATATGTCTGACTCAGTCTCAGAATAGTGGGAGACAGTTGATCAGTAAGTAAATAAAAAAATGTAGTCAAGGGCTGAGGATTGCAGCCTCAATCCTAAATTCAATTGAAATTGTTCTTATAGTGTTAGCCCTTGATTTACCATTAAAAGTGAATTCTTAAGCCCTAAAGAATAATTAGACAACATGTGGATCCAGATCAATCCCTGAAATATCTGAGTTTATGCTATGGCCATAAGCTAAGTCTATGAAATAATTCATGAATGGTTTGTTATAATAGGAAATGATACCTAGAAGTAAAAACAAAAGTGCTTAAGTTTGTAGCTCAGTAAAGCTATTGTAGAGCACTTGTATAGCGTGCAATGAGGTCCTGGATTCAATCCCCATCACCACCAAAAAAGAAAAAATAAATAAAGGCTGAAAAGTATATTCAGTAATAAAACATTCAGTAATAGTGATGATGGAATGGCCAAATGAGTGCCTTTCACTTGTAAGTAGGAGAGAATTATATATGTTGGGGTGCTCATTACTTCTTTTGCAAATGAGATATGATTGCTTGGGTTAATATAGATTAGAAAAGCATATGCTTAAGTACCTTAGGGGACTAGTCACTTATGTTCTACAGATCATAGAAAAAGGCCAGTGGATATGTCTGGGATTTTTAGAAGCCTTCTTTATTCTAAGAACTATTCCTTTACACAGGTAGAAGCTAATAATTGGGAAAGGGATTCAATAAAAATTAGCACTTGTGTGTGTCCTGATTTATTCTCACTTCTATAAAATTTTGAGGTAGTACATTTATACAGAATTAAGGAATCTGAAAGTTCTAACTTAAAGGCTAGCTGGGTAGAGTTTCCTTCATTATGTCTTCCATTAATTTACCTTTCTCATTTGTTTTGTTGGTTCTATGTTTTCTCCTTGTTTGTGCAGATGTTCCATTGGGATTGTTTACCAGATTGCTTTCTAAATTAGCCAGCTGGGGTTACTTTAAAAAACAGTATGTAATTTTTTTCTTTCTCCATGCTAAACAGATTTGTTCTGCCAAACAGTGAGCTTGTTTATAGCCTGTGTAGACTAATTATGCTTTATCAAACAGCTATAAAAGAGGAAGGGGTAAAGTTTATGGCAGGATTTTGTGACCAGAGCTAATTAATGTACAGTATACTATAAAAATAACATCTGTACCCCATTACTAGTAAGTGCAAAATGAGGCTTAACATCATAGCATTAACTGTTTGTAGGGTAATTAAATCTTGTATGTATAGGAAGTGATTTGAGTGGTGAACAGTTCGTTCTTGTTCATAGTAACTACATAAACAATAGTGAGTAAGTCCGTTAACTTCCTTGCCAGTATTCTACCTTCTTTGACATTGACATCAAACACAATAAGTGCTCACCATAAATCCAGAATATTCTAATAGTCTTTTAGATGGTTAAAAACTTTATAAGTGGTTTTTATTCAGTTAATAGAAAAATTTTTTAAATGCAGAAAAGTATAAAGAAGGTAACCTTAGTAGGATGCTGGTGCCCCATTACTTGATATTCTGATTTTTGTGTGTGTATTGTACTGGGGCTTGAACTCAGGGCCTTCACCTTGAGCCACTCTGCCAGCCCTTTTTGTGATGGTTGTTTTCGAGATAGGGTTTCGTGAACTGTTTGCCCAGGCTAGCTTTGAACTGCAGTCCTGATCTCTGCCTGATTCTGATTGTTTTTAAAGTATCTGTGTTGAAATATTTTGCCTCTTGATTATTTCCTGAAAATAGACTCTATTCCTGAATATAGACTCTAAGAAGAAGTATTTTAAAGTTAAAGGGTTCTTTCTACATATTTACATTTCTTTTTCTAGAAAGCTTATACCAAATTATACAACATGCTCCTTCATGCTCTTACCACTCTTGACTGTTTTTTAAAAGGTCAAGAATAGAGTTTGAATTTAATATTTTCTATTGTTATATATTTATGGACCAGTTGAACTTATAAAAAGTTCTTAGTCTATTTTTTCTATTGAAGTATATATACGTATATGTGTGTGTATGTATATATATATATATACACCACATATAAACACTAGCAAAAGTCTTCTGTGAAAGACTCCTACCTTGCTAGATAGGCACTTGAGCCACATCCCAGCCCTAAAGTATATTTTTCTTACTGACTTACAAGAGCTTTTTTATTTTGTATTGTTTTTAATATTTTATCACGTATATTGCAAGGAATCTTTTTTTTCTGTTTTGTTTTTTGGCAATAAGTAGCTTGTGAACTGGTTTCCCTTTCTGCAGCTTTAGTCTATTCTGCACATTATACTAGGAAGACCAGTATGGCTATTAACACCACCTTTATTGTAGTCAAAATCCTTAAATGTCTTATAACATAAAATACCAAGTTTTAAACCAGTGATTCTCAAACTTTAGTATGAATAATAGTTACCTTGAAGGTATGTTTAAAATGGCATGTTTAGATTCCGTGAGTATGACCTAAGGCCCAAGGATCTCATTTTTAATGAGAATTCCATTTTCAACATTATTAACCACGTAGGTCATCCTTTGAGAAACACTTCTTAGCTTAGCATATACAGGACTTTTAATGATTTATTCTCATTGAGAGAACTTATTTATATTCCCCTGGGGGAAAATTGCTCTTGCTATAATTGTCTACTTATGGTTTCCTCAGAAACATGTAGACAAATCCATCTCCAAGTTGATGTGGCTGGAGGTACTATATATGGGTAATACGCCATTCCAGGGGGAACCTGGAATTTCTTTCTTCTTTCTACTTTGTTCGTATCCTGGCCTCCCTTTAAGATGAATTTCTGCTTTCATTTTTTTTGTGGATTCTTCCCTGGCCATTTTAAAGAGATTGTGTTCTTTGCCTTCTCTGACTCTAAGCATTCATGCAGTCTTTCAGCATTTCTCACATTGTTGTTCTATTTATTTTTATGAGTAGACGTATTGTTTATTATTTGTTGGCAGAGACTTTGCCTTATATGATTTTCTTTTTCTCTCCCATAGGACCTGTGTGAAAGCGAAAACCAATGCCATGTCCTTGTCAGTTTTTAATTTGAAATGCTGCAGTAAAATACTTGCTGGGCATTTGATGAATATTAAAAAAAAACCTATTCTACATAGGCTGTATAATTCTATAGTACTTGTTTATATAATCTTTAAGCTTTGGTCATTTGGTCATATATATATATATATATATATATATACATATATATATATGTATTTTAGCAGACATCATCTTGTTTAATCTGGAAACTGAATTACTGTTTTCCTCTTGAAGGAGGAACAATCAAAAAGGTTCTCATCATTTTAGTTTACATCACCCCATGTACTCTATAGATTGCTTTTGGATTGTCAACAGCTCTAATTTCATGTAGTATTCCAACTAAAGATTATGAATGTTAGTTTTTTTCTGATAGATATTTGGACTTCTATGGAAATGATGCCTTACAGAATTAGACAGCATGCCCTTAAGAGTATGGTAATTCTAGCTTGTTGTGCAGATCTTTCCCTGACAGTTTCAAACCAACTGACCTATACCTACAGTCTTACCTTAATATCAAGTTGTTTCTCCAGTTGCTGAAACTTAATACTGACCCTAGGGAATAAGAAATGGTTCTTAAACCTTCTCAGCCTGAATTTGATGCCAGCTTTGTTGGGTAGTAGTTTTAGGGATGCTTTTCTCCTTTATTTCTACTTAAACTAGCATCCTAGGAAAGAGAATGACAGCTTTTTTCTGGGGCATGTGAAGGAGTTGGTGAGTGCAATCCAGGCAGTCACATCATTGCTTGTCAGGATTATTTTAGCTGATTTGTCTGACTGGGCAGGTGTCCCCTCTCTCCCTCAGTGCTCCATGTGCATCCCTCTTGAAGCTTCGCACTCTGTTGAAGAGGACATTCATCCCAGGTAGAGAGGGGGTGGGGAAATTGGGCCAATTGAATATAAATTCCTTTTCACATCAAGGCCACTTAACTGGGATCCATTGATTTACCTAAGTTCCAAGAGCTCTATGAAATTCCTTGCCAAGTTTTTTTTATGCTTTTGTATGTTTCTTGGAGAATAGGGTCTTTCATTAGATTCTTAAGAGATCTATAGAACTGAGCACTAGATAATGATGTTTTTGTTGTATTTCTCCAGCAGGAATGACAGAGATTAGAAATGCAAAGGGTGATGGGACTTTTGTAATGGACAATTACAGGATCCTATTCTTATTTGTGCAGGATATATTTTAGATATCCTCATCACACTAGGCAGTCTTCAAAAGCTATGTTGTCTGTTTCTCAAGCAGGAATAACAACTTAGAAATACAGAGAGAAGAGGAGACAGAATAGGTGGCATATAATAGCAGTTTGAAAATATCTCAGTTTTGCCTATGTGTGCTCTACAACCATAACATATCACTTAGGGATATTAACTTAGGTATTCGTAAAACAAAAGGAATATATTTAAGACTCCTCGTATCTCTTAAAACACCTTCTGTGGAAGAACTCTTGGTGTGCCAGGGTTATCTAAAATGTACTTACACATTAAAAAAACCTGTTTTGCCTGCCTTTGCATATGGCTCTGTGAAGAAAGGAAAGGAAGTTTAGTTTAAGATACATGTATCATAGGATTGATGAGTTTCAGAAGAGCAATTTTGTGAATTTTTTGGCCTTTTTCAGAAATTGAAGAAACAAAGCTTAAGTCAGATTATTTCCTAGTCATAATTAAGTTCTTAATCAAGTAAACACGAAACATAATTTGACTCAAGCCTTTTTCCTGCGTGTGAAGTGCTTGACAGCAATTTTTGTAATGGGGAAATAAAGGACCCATTTGCTTACTGGTTTAAGTTATTTCTTAAGCTTTGTAAGATAAGTATAATTCTAATTCGTCAATTTGAATTGCTTCTTTTTATTGAGTTAGCTGTTTAAACCTAGAATTCTTGAGTGTTTTGTTTGAAGCTTGTTATTCCAGAGTGAAGAGAATAATTTGAAATCTTTCAATGTGTTTGCAGTCATTATTTAGAAGCAAGGTCCTTGAATGAGAGAGATTATCGGGACCGGAGATACGTTGATGAATACAGAAATGACTACTGTGAAGGATACGTTCTTAGACATTATCATAGAGACATTGAAAGTGCTTATCGAATCCACTGCAGTAAATCCTCAGTCCGAAGCAGGAGAAGCAGTCCTAAAAGGAAGCGTAATAGACACTGTTCAAGTCATCAGTCACGTTCGGTATGATTGATTTTGTTTTTATTTTGAGTGGATTATTTGTGTGTAAAAGCTCTTGAGCTGATAAGTTTCTAAAAGTTTCTTCACATGTATACTATTTGGTTATATTAAGATTATATTTATATTACTTTAATCCTTAAAGGAAGCGTCCCCATTCTTGTAGCTGCTCTGAATATTTATTAGCTAGTCCTCATTTGTGCGCATTTACACATATTCTGCAGACCAGATCGTGAGTTTGTTAATGTTAATAATAAAATTATTTTTGTGTATTTGTGATATATTATGAAAAAGTGAAGCACCTGTCTTTTCTTTCAACCTAAACATTTTTTTTTACTTTGAAAGAAACCTCTTTATTAGTACTTGGAGACAAATGTGGGAAGTTGCACTGCTGGATATTTAAATACTGATAACCTGTGTGTAGCATAGCTTTGTAACACAGTGGATCATCAGTCATGTTAACTGTTGAAATTGTGAAAATGGGTGCTAATGAGAAACTTACTTAAAAAGCCAGCCCTTTTTTTTTTTTTTTTTTTTTTTTTTTTTTGTTAAAAAACATCATGTTTTATCTGGAAACTTTGAATTACTATTTTCTTCCTGAAGTTTTCTGCACTAGAACTAGCTATTAGCTTGAACATTGAAATGAATTAGCCTTTGTTTTCCCCTCTTATTATATATATATATTTTTAAATGTTGCTAAATAAGGACAATTTCAGCTAAACTTGACATTTTAGAAACATTTTTCTGACAAACTAGACATCTCATTTCACAGCATATGGTAGTTATAGCAAGAAATTAGTAAATCATGACATTGCATTCTTTAAATTTCAGACTTCAATTAAATCAGTATTTTAAAGAGACAATTGTGTTGTTTTTTCTATTGCCACTTTAAGTATCTTATCTGAAAATCTGTTCCTTGCCATGTTTTTCTTCTGTAACATAAACTGTGCCCTGTGAATTTCTGGGGACTGAATTTGAAATTGCTCCTGCCAACTGTTCGTGGCCTGGTGCTTATCTGAATGCCTGAATATCTCCCCGCTGAATGAATTGCGTATTCTGCCCTGAATTCACTCTGATATATTGATTGGCTGGACGATCTTGGTGCTGCCCACTTGCCGTTCCAGAAGAGCCACCGAAGGAAAAGATCCAGGAGTATAGAGGATGATGAGGAGGGTCACCTGATCTGTCAAAGTGGAGACGTTCTAAGAGCAAGATGTATAGAATATTTTTCAACACTTTTTAAACTTTGCAGACAGAATAATCTTTTTAAGAATAGTTTGTCAGCGGGGGGCTAAAGAACTCTTCATTGCTTTTTTGTTTTGTTTTTTGTGGGTTTGTTTGTTCTTTTGTATTTCTTCTTTTCTATAGAATTTAAATATTTCTACTCTAAAGTTCCAAAATAATCAGTGGAATTTGAGATTAGAGCAAGACAGATAGCTCTATCTAATTGTTTTTGTAGCAGCTGAAAATAAAATAATTTTGAGTGCTGAAACCTTAGTTATGCTTTGATAGAGATCATTTGAAAATATTCCACACTTAAGTATTCATTGTTTGAATAATTATATAATTTATATTTAGGTACTTAGACCACTTTTTCTCTCCCTCACTTTAGATGAAATCGTGGACACTTTGGGTGAAGGGGCCTTTGGCAAAGTTGTAGAGTGCATTGATCATGCCATGTAAGTTGTTACTTTTTTCTTTTTGAACATTCTGACTTTTTTATGGGGAAGGACTCATAATTTAGATGAAGTATATTTGAAGTGCTAGCTACATGTTTTCCTGGGAGGAAGCTAACAAAATTTCTTGAACTAGATACAATTTATGTACCATGGGTGGATTTTGATCAAGAATGCTGACAAATTTATCAAATGAGTTCATTGAATAATTAAGGGGAGGGGTGTTCAAGTGAAGGAATTTGTCACATCTTAGACTCAGGGCTTCTAAGAAATTCAGCTACTTTTACATTACAGAGACAATAAAGTATATCTAAACTTGCATATTAGACTTAGCTTCCTAAATCATAAATAAATTACATTAAGGCCTGCAGAATAAAGTCCAAATTCTTTAATAAGGCCTACTAACCCATTTGTGATTTGACTCTCTGCCTCATTTTGTCATTTTCCTCCAGGGCCTCTATTTCATGGCTTGCCCACTTTTTTTTGTAAGTGAATCTTATAATTTAGTGAAACTGTACATTTCCAAAATGACACCCATATATATACATATATATATATATTTTTTTTTAATCAAAAGTTAAGCTAGTTGGAAAGGATGGAATTTCCAGCTTATTAACGCTTTTTCCTGGTACTGAGGTTTGAACTTAAGGCTCGGCAAGCACTCTTACCACTTGAACCATGCCTCCAGCCCTGTAAACAAGAATTTTTTTTTCATATCTCTTTAAATGTATTTGAAGGAATCTTAATCCATAACCACTTGATGTGAACTATCATCCATGAAAACTTTTTCTTGAATGCATACTTAGAAATGATTTATCCTTGAACTGGAGGCATGGCTCAATAGTAGAGTGCTTGCCTAGCATGTGCAAATCCCTGGGTGTATGTGGGGGGTGGGGGAGGCGCTTATCCTTGAACTTACATTCATTCCATTGTCCATAAGAATATTTTCTTAAAATACCTTTTTTATTTGTTTTAGTTGCAGTACTGTGTTTGAACTCAGGGCCTCTGTCTTGCTGGTAGGCACTCTACCACTTGAGTCATACCTCCCAGCCCCTTTTGCTTTAGTCATTTTTCAGATTAGGTCTCAGTTTTTTCCTGGGCTGGCCCTGGACCATAATCCTCCTGTTTATACCTCACACATAGCTGGGGGTGCAGTGCCACCATGCCAGCTTATTGTTTGAGATGGGGTTCTCACTAACTTTTTGCCTAGGCTGGCCTCAAATTGTGATTCTCCCTACCTCCATCTCTTAGCAGCTAGGATTACAGGCATGAACCACTCTGCCTGACCTAAATTATCTTTCATCACCACCCTACCTTGCTTCTTGGCAACAAAAATGTGAACATAGGTTGACTTTTATAATACTTTGAAGTATTTTTAGGTTTTCAGAAAAGTTGTTAAAATAATTCATAGAATTCCCACATGTCCTTCACCCAGATTTCCTAATGTTAACCTTTGTTAGTATTTGTTTTTTCTTTCTCTCTATATATTATATTTCCAGATCTTAATGTGCAGTTTCTGTTCATATTGCACCAATTGTCCCATTAATGTGCTTCTAAAATTTCCTGAGATTCATAGTCTCCAAGTATTTAATCAATATAATCAAGGTAGCCCAATAAATAGTATTTAATTAATTAGAGTACAAGTTTTTATACTTACAACACCTGAAAAGTTATCTGACCTGGGATGGTAGGACTTCTAAAAACTGAGTACATGTATCTATAGATGAGTATCTCATGGTTTAGCATTGTCTGTTTCCATTTCTTTTATAAACACTGAGAAAACTTTTTGGTTATACAATGAAATGTATGGGAGTAGGAGTTTTTTTTCTTGCTTGCTTTTTTAAAAATAATTTTAATTTTTTTGGTGGAGCTGGGGTTTGAACTCAGGGCCTTGTGCTTGTCAGACAGGCACTCTGACCTATCCTTTTTGCTTTAGTTTTTCAAATTGGGTCGTACATTTAGCCTGTAACCCCAGCAATCAGGAGGGTATGCCAGGAGGATTGTAAGTTCAAGATCAGCCTGGGCTACATAGCAAGACATCTCAAAAAAAAAAAAATTTAGTTTCAGAGGATGCATGACTTCAGACCACTCATGTACACTCAGAATACTCATCTTAATTTTGTTTTTAAGGGATGGCTTACATGTGGCAGTGAAAATCGTAAAAAATGTAGGCCGTTACCGTGAAGCAGCTCGTTCAGAAATTCAAGTATTGGAGCATTTAAATAGTACTGATCCCAATAGTGTCTTGTAAGTATAAATTTGAAGTATGATCCATTGATTACATTGAAATAACTAGAATTCTGTGAACTGAATTATTATTTTGATCTCTTTTAGCCGATGTGTCCAAATGCTAGAATGGTTTGATCATCATGGTCATGTTTGTATTGTATTTGAGCTGCTTGGACTTAGTACCTATGATTTCATTAAAGAAAACAGCTTTCTGCCATTTCAAATTGATCACATCAGGCAGATGGCATATCAGATCTGCCAATCAATAAATTGTAAGTATATATGATAAGTCTTTTAAACACAAGAAAAATTGTCTTCATTATGTAAGCAGTGTATTAATACTTGCCACTAAAAATACAGAGGTAAAGATGAAATCCCTTCCCATATCACTACTAGTCCCTCTTCATCTCTTCTAATACCAATTAAATTTCTAAGTGAAACTAATGATGTCTTTTTGTTTTCTTTGTAGTTTTGCATCACAATAAATTAACTCATACAGATCTGAAACCTGAAAATATTTTATTTGTGAAGTCTGACTATGTAGTCAAATATAATTCTAAAATGGTAAGTTAAAGACTTGTTTTAAATTTGCTGGTTGTCTTTGAAATTAATTTAGCTTGGTGGTCCTTGTATGAGGAATTTTACTTCTGAGCCTCATTATACTTTGATGTTTAAATGTAAATGGAGTGGCACTAGGGCTGTGGTTTGATTCCTAGTATTGGGGATACAGAAAACAGTTAATCTTTGTCTTTTTCATGGCTTTATTTTAACAGTCAAAATGGTAATTCATGGATGGACTGGGGCTGTAGCTCAGTGATGGAGTATTTGCCTAGCATGTGCAAGGTCCTAGTTTCCATCCACAGACAGATACACACACACACACCACCACACCACACCACACCACACCACACCACACCACAAAACCAAATTCACAGCTTTTTGAGTAGTGCTATAAAATATTTTCTGTCTTTGAGTTTTACCTTTACTTAACTGTGTCTGTCTAGAAACGTGACGAGCGTACACTGAAAAACACGGATATCAAAGTTGTTGACTTTGGAAGTGCAACATATGATGATGAGCATCACAGTACTTTGGTATCCACACGGCACTACAGAGCTCCAGAGGTCATTTTGGGTCAGTAGATACCAGACTTCATTGTACTGTAATTGGAGAAGAGATTTTATTGGGGGTTGGGAAGGGTCATGGCTAGAATAATCTTAGCAGTTATACAGAGAATATAATTTTCATAAAAAATGTGTGGGCATTGCTATAAATACTTTCCTGAGTGATAGAAATGTAAAAGATATTCCAAGTGATGGTGATTTTTGAACTAGTTAATCTTAAGTGATTATAAGACAGTAGTTCTGTTAAGTACAGTATAGTAATGTGACTTTGAAGTTACATAGGTACTTATTTTTATTACATCGCAAAAGAATGGTTCTGTTGAAGATACTAAGGATTTGGTCAGCCAACTGTAGACATAGGGTTGATAGAGGTCAAGAGGAGAAGAAAGAACGTCTTGTCCAAGCCAGTGGGAGAAGTTCAGATCAGGTGCTATTGAGAGAGAGTTCTAAATGTTACCAGGCAAGTGAGAATTGATGTAAATATGAAGTGGGAGTTACTGGCCTTGAGGAAAAGGAATCTGGAGATTGGGAGATTTGAAGAGTTGTTTGTGTGTTTATGAATTGTTGTTGAGGGTGAAGGCAGAATTAGGTTAGAAGGAATATGTAGTCAGGTGCTACACCAGAGGGAGGGTGGTTGTCTTTGCAGATAGTAAATAGGTAAGATTGGGAGAGGGAATGATGTGGCATTCAAGAGTGTTATGTGACTGGTCTAAGAACGGGGTGATGCGCTGCAGAAAGGTTTAGTCGTCTGGGGAAAGGCTGAGTTGGGTGAGAGCGGTTAAAGAAGAAAACTTATCTGAGCTCCAGGCTCTAGCATTTACAGATTCTTTTATGTGTTAACTGTAAATAGAAGCTGTGCTCCATTATTATCCATGTGTTCAAATCGTGAGCACTTCGGAAGCGAACAAAAATGACATCAGAGTTGTTAGTGGTAGCAAGTGCCTGTAATCTTGGCACTTGGGAGGCAGAAGGAGAATTGCAAGTTCAAGGTCATGCATGCAGTGAGTTCCAGGCCAGCCTGAGAGGCCCTGTCAAAACAAATGAATGTATGGGACTAGGGGACATGGGTCAAGTAGTAAAGCACTTGCCTAGTGAGGCCCTGAGTTCAAACCCCAGGACCACCAAAAAAAAAAAAAAAAAAAATATATATATATATATATATATATATGTATATATATTTATTAAGAAAAAAAATTTTTAAAAACTGAATGAATGTGTGTGGGTCAAGGCCTTTGACGATATCATTTCTTCCTTTCTCTTTAATCTCAGTGATATTACTGAAAATAATTGAAATGTCTTTTAAAGTAGGTGTTACATTATTATTTACTAAGTAATTTTAAAAACAGTAAAATTTCTTTATGGTTCTTTTCAATCGAATATAGACTTAAGAAGGCTAAGTGTTTTATGCTCTCCTGAAAAGTATTGCCATTGGAAATACTTGTTTGTTTTGTTTGAGTCAGTGTCTTGCTATGTAGCCCAGGCTGACTTGGAATTCAGTATGTAAACTCAAACTCTTGATCCTCCTACCTCAGCCTTCTGTATGCTGAGATTACAGGTGTGAACCACCATGCCCAGTCTTACCATGGAAATTCTGAAGGACATTGTACATATGATCATGTATAAACAGCCTGATGTGCATATGTAGCTCACTCTCTGTGTGAACTTAATTGTATCAGTAATTTTTGCTTACAGAGCAAACTGCTTATAATTCCTATAATTTTTTGTGTAGTTTTAAAACAGTATTTCTTTTAAGGGAAGAAGTAAACTTTTACATCAAGCTGGTGATAATGAATAAGGGCTAAGTATAATTATCTGAGGACAATTATAAAGCTATATTTGCACTAGTAAGATGTAAAATGCCTGGTCCAGTCCTGAACCGAGTAAAACAGTTTAAGTAGCAGTGCTCCCCATCACGTGTACAGTTCAGAGACTTAGTAATTATATCTTGGAAATGTTTTGTTAAATACCCTTTTTATTTTTATACAAGATGCCCCCCTCCTAGTTAAAAATGCTGAATTTTGATATAAACATGTTGACTATGAGATCGTACTGAACAATGTTTGTTGTAAAACAAAAATATAAACCCAAGTTTGCTGTCATATTCTCCCAAATAGACTAGGAAAGAGTGCACCCAAAGAGGGAAGGTTTTAGCATATTAGCAGTTAAAAGTTGTTGCATAGTAATGTGTTTATGTTTGTTTAAATAGCTTTAGGTTGGTCTCAGCCTTGTGATGTGTGGAGCATAGGTTGCATTCTTATTGAATATTACCTTGGGTTCACAGTCTTTCAGGTATGTATCCAGTAAACTCATTTGATAATCTGTAATGAATTTTAAATGTTAAAGGCATATTGAAGTTTTAGCTTCCATATTGGAAAATTGCCACAAATCATTGTTATTGATGTTAAAACTTACATATTCAAAATGTTATCTTTCTCTAAAACCACAGGTGAATGAAATCCTATTGTTAGTGAATGATTATAGCTCATTTTGCATATGATTGCTTTTCCTTAACATGGTTAATGTTCCCATTTTTTAAAATTATAGAATGCCTTTATAAACTTACATTAGTGTAGATGTGACTAGTTTTAATTCAGCACTGGTTATGTTGACTGTCATGACCATGAAGAATTCACTTTTTACTGTAGGAGAGTTCAGGAGCAACAATTGAATTTTACAGTTGAGAATTTAGCATTTACGATGCTTAGGCATTTCTGTTCTAAGTGTGTAAAGATAAAAAGATGGCATCTCTGTCCTCAAGAAGTCATGCAAAAGACAGAAAACTAATATAGTGTAGTGTGATATTTGCTACAATGGAATAATGTAAAAAGTATAGGGGGAACCCAGGAAAGGTTAGTAATTAAAATTTCTTTAGAGAAGGAATCACAGTAGGTAGGGAATTTAAGCCAATAGTAGAAAGAGGAGTAGGAACTGGTCAGAAAACTGGAGCGTGATAGGTGTAGAAGGAAGAGGGAGGGGGGAGAAATGACCCAAACATTGTATGCACGTATGAATAAAATAAAAATTAAAAAGGAAGAAGGAAGTATAAATGGAGAAGGGTAAAGGAACATGTTCTAGTCAGAGAAGAATAGCAGAGTGTCTCATGTCAGTGGAATAATAATGACAGTAGGGAAGGACTGATTTAGGACTTCTGTACTTTGAAAGGTAGCTGTTTTATTCTTGAAGTGTTACTAGTTCCTAAATACAGACTGGTCCAAAATTGAAATGATTTTGTAGGGTTGCCATTCTAACCCTTATGTAGAGATTATCCCTCACTGCTTTTTTTCATTTCAAAATGTACCTTTTAAGAAATGATACAAGTTGATGGGGTTGGCTTTTTAAAATAGAAGTCTTATTTGTGAAAGTGCAGTTTCCGCCGCCCCCCCCCCCCCCCCCCCCGTAGTTTCACTTATATCTGTAATCAAGAAGTTTTGAAAGCATTAGGCAGATGCAACCGTGGAATAATGAGTAGGATTGTGATTTTGATCAAGGTGCCCCATTGTTCACTTTTACTTTGTTTGGGTGTGGCACAGGGGAGAGTGGTTAGTGGAGATCCCAGCCCAGTATTGTTAATGTTGACTTGAAGTTACAGCACTGCAAGAGTGGATGAACTGTCCCTTGATGTGATGAGTTCACTCCTTGAGCTCCCTCCTCAGGCTTCTGTTTCTGTTGGATTTGTAGAAGTACTTTTGGAAAGTACTCTTGACTCAGTAGATAGGCTTAGTGTCTGGAACCAAGGCTGTCAGTCATTCTGGGAAGTGGTGTGTGGTTTTGTAGTAGTGAGCAGCACTACTTTCTTGATTTTGACTCAGTTAAAACAGATGTTAAATGATTTTATAATGGAAAATCACTTTAAGGCCTTAAATGAAGTAGGGTTATTAACATTAATTTTGAGATGTGGTTTATATTTTAATTCTGCCCTACAAAATTAAGAAGCTTTTTAAAAAGTTGGGTGTGGTGGTGCATGCCTGTAGTCCCAACACTTGACTGGCTGAGGCAGGAGGATCATGAAATCAAGGCCAATCTGGGCTACATAGAGAGATCCTGTCTCACAAAACAAGAGCAAGCAAAAAATGTAAAGCATTATTATGTTATGCATTAATAACATTTTGAAGGCAATACACCAGGCACTGTGGTTGATAGAATTTTTTTGTTTGTTTGGTTGGACTGGGGTTTGAACTCAGGGTTTCATGCTTCAAAGTAGGTGATTTGCCACTTGAGCCATGCCTCCAGTCCAGTTAATAGATTTTTTAGAAAGTATTACAAGGGTTGGCAAATTATGGTCTATGGTGAAATTGTGCCAGGTGCTGATTTTTGAAAAAGAAGACAAGAAAGGGATCAGTTGAGCAGCCAAGCCCAAAATGTTTATCTAGCCCTTCATAGAAGTTACATTGATTTCTATGCAGACTTTACTAATCCATTTCAGAGACTGTAATTTTATTGTGTTTGTACCAGACAACCAGCTCATTCACTTTTCATCTTTGAAGAATTCTATAGTGTGACTTGTATAGCTGGCTAGTCTAGTCCTTTTATATCAGTACCTACTCTTGTGTTCTCTTTTAATGGATATGTAGGGAAATGGAGAGTACTAAATTGTTTTTTCCTAAATTTTTTAGACTCATGATAGTAAAGAGCATCTGGCAATGATGGAACGAATATTAGGACCCATACCAACACACATGATTCAGAAGACAAGGTATGTTTTAAGATTACAGTTTTTTGTTGGGTTCATACAATGGCCTGTATTCAAACTACAGAAAACCTGTCATTGTCATAATACCTGTTACAAGGGCAACTACTGCTGGCCCCACTTTAAAAAAGTCATGTTAACTTTTGCATGTTTCCCTAAATTGATGTAAAAATAATACATAGAATATGAGACAGTTTGCTTTTGGAGTCATCAGTCTGAATTTCCTGCTCTTCCTAATTAGCTACATATCCCTGGATAAGGTACTCTAGTAGTTTCCAGACATAGCCTCTCCATAGAAGTTCCCTAGGGAGTTATTTAGAGATTCCAGATGCAGTCAAATCAGAATGGATCCAAAGGTCGGTCGGTCTCTTTTTTTTTTTTTTGGTATGTTTGTTGTTTTAGCTTAAACAATGGAAGTGTATTCTCTCATAGTTTTGGAGGCTAGAAGTCCAAAATTAAGGCATTGGCAAGGCTATGTTCTCTGAAGGCTCTGGAGAGAGGAGATACCTTTCCTTGCCACTTCTAGTTTCTGGTGGTTGCTGGCCGTCTTTGGCTTTGCTTGGCTTATAGATGCTTCACTCTAGTATCTGTCTGTCTTCATATGTCCTTTCCCCCCCAGTCCCCAATGTGTATGTGTTTCTGTCCAAATTTCCTTGTTTTCCTTCTTGTAAGGATACTGGTCATACTGGAGCTGGGGCCAACCCTAATCCAATATGAATTCGTTGTAGCTTGATTACATCTGTGAAGACATTATTTTCAGATAAGGGTCTGGTTAAACATGATTTTTTGTGTGTGTGTGTTTAACCCAATATACTTCAGTAGAAGCCTGATAGTTCTGTCCTTACCCACTTGCTATTTTGTACCATGCAGATGGCTCAGGAGTCTGTTTTTAAAACTGGTAGTTTTCTGTGTATGGTGTTTGGGAACAACTTAGTTGGAATATGAAAACCTCTCAGTATAGAAGACAAAGGAAGGTACTATATGAAATTGTTCCTGAGACTTTTAAAAATTGTAGGTGTGTATGTCTCACGTTTAGAGATATGCTTCTGTCTGTCCCCAGGGGGACAAGGAAAAGATGTGACTCTTTTGTTGTTCTATTAATTCAGACTTCTTTTTTTCTTGTAGAAAACGCAAATATTTTCACCATAACCAGCTGGATTGGGATGAACATAGTTCTGCTGGTAGATACGTTAGGAGACGCTGCAAACCATTAAAGGTAAAGGGAGAAAAAGATTAAAAGTTAAGGAAAAAGATTTTAACTGTTACCTTTTCTAACAAAAGTATTTCTGCCTCACTCCAGGAATTTATGCTCTGTCATGATGAAGAACATGAGAAGTTATTTGACCTAGTTCGAAGAATGCTGGAATATGATCCAACTAAAAGAATTACCTTGGATGAAGCATTGCAGCATCCTTTCTTTGACTTATTAAAAAAGAAATGAAATGGAAATCAGTGGTCTTACTATATACTTCTCTAGAAGAGATTACTTTAAGACTGTGTCAGTCAACTAAACATTCTAATATTTTTGTAAACATTAAATTATTTTGTACAGTTAAGTGTAAATACTGTATGTTTTGTATCAATAACATAATTACCTTGTTAAGTAAGTATGGTCTTGATAATGAAATATAAAAGTTAAAATTAATTTCCCTTTTTGACATTAATTACCATTTTTAAAGACCTTTGGAATATCCTTTGTGTCCAGTGATAAATGTGATTGATTGTGCCTTTTTGTACATGGAGGTCAACTCTGAAGTGATTTTTTTTTTTTGAGTAAAAGAAAAGCCTGGCTACTTTATATCTGTAAGTGAATATTCTTTATATACCTTAAATTTAGACCTTTTCATAACTTTAAAGTTTTTTTCTTTGTCTAACAGATAGTAACTCTAGGTAGACAGATTTTAGAAACCTAAACCATAGAAAATGTTTGAGTTTTATTAAATCATAGATTTTGTGTTATTTTCTTTTGGGCAATGTCAGTGAGACAAGTAGGCATCTATGGAAAGGCATCCAGTTTGTCCCTCATGAAATATTGTTTAACAAAGCCACGTACCATTTAAGATTAAAGTGTAATTGAAAAACTGTATTTTCCAAGGGCTATTTGATGAGTCATAGACATAAAATAGAAATTCTGATGATTGAGGTTTTGGATGTTTTTTTGTTTGCTTTGTAGTATTGGGGATAGAACCCAGTGCCTCCAGCACCCTAGGCAGACACCCTGCCACTTAGTCGTTACCTGAACCACCAAGGATTTAGTTTTTAATTCTAATTCCTGAGGAGTCTTGAAACATGCATTATATGTTTCCTTATATGAAGTAAACACTTACACATCAGCCTGTTCTCAGGCTAGTTTTTAAGTAGTTACGCTGTATTAATCCTTATGGGAAAAACAGCTACAGAAATTTCTAGAACTCAATTGTTTGGTTAAAACATTTTTTCTTTTCTTTTTTTTTTTTTTTTTGAGTAAAGCAGGAGAGTTTATTGAGATACAAAGTGTAAAGTGGGAGAGTAGAGCCCCCAGAGTTGGGGTGAGGGTCCCAAGAGAGGGTACTGCAATTTGCCTTTTGGTATTTTCACATAAAAACTACATGATAAAAGAAAAAAAACTAAATAAACAGGTAACTTTATTCTGTCAGGTAGAAATATTTTTTGTTTTTCAGTTCATAATCTATTATTCAGATGCTGGTGGTTTTTTGTTGAAAGTATCCCCACTTTCTAAGTGTATTACAGATTTTAGTTTTACCTGTTTATTTTGTTTTTTAATTTTTTTTGGTTTTTGTTTTGTTTTTATTTTGCTTGTTTTTTTTTTGTTTGTTTGTTTTTTTAATTATTCATATGTGCATACAAGGCTTGGGTCATTTCTCCCCCCTGCCCCCACTCCCTCCCTTACCACCCACTCCGCCCACTCCCTCTCCCCCCTACCCCCTCAATACCCAGCAGAAACTATTTTGCCCTTATTTCTTAATTTTGTTGAAGAGAGAGTATAAACAATTAATAGGAAGGAACAAGGGTTTTTGCTGGTTGAGATAATGATAGCTATACAGGGAGTTGACTCACATTAATTTCCTGTGCATGTGTTTTACCTTCTAGGTTAATTCTTTGTGATCTAACCTTTTCTCTAGTTCCTGGTCCTCTTCTCCTATTGGCCTCAGTTGCTTTTAAGGTATCTGCTTTAGTTTCTCTGAGTTAAGGGCAACAAATGCTAGCTAGTTTTTTAGGTGTCTTACCTATCCTCACCCCTCCCTTGTGTGCTCTTACCTGTTTATTTTAAATAGAAAATGACAAATAGTGAAGCCAGACTGGGCCCCCTACGTTAGAGGCAACAATTTGCCAGTACAGTAAGGTTATGTTTTGAGAGCTGGGTAGGAATTTAAAGCTGAAACAAATTACCTTAGAATGATCACTGCATAAGTTACATTTAGGACTGATGCAATTCACATAAAGTGAATGGTATGATTGGAATAGTTGAACTATGTTATGGTAAAAACGCTTTTTAAAGGAGTATATGATACTTCAAGAAGAAAAGGTTTTGCCTTGAGGCTGGCAGGTTGCTATACAGGTCAAAGTGTTTGCATCCTTGATTCTCCACTCCATTCACCTCTTGTCCTTTCCTGAAGGAATGTTCACTTTGTGCCAGGAGCTGATCTCGGCACATAGGAGGAAACAAAGATACAATTTCTAAGAAGTTAATCATTGTTTATTCCCTCTCTTTTCTGAAAGTTATTTCACACCCTTCACAAAAGGTGTTTGAAATTCCTAGGCCTATTTTAGAAATTAGTTTGAAACCTCAAAAAATAAGGATTCAAGAAATGCTTAGTGGTTAGGGTGGTACTGCCAGTATCATTGTGTAAGTGCCCTTTGCCAGTCTTCCTCTCCTCCCCTTTGAGTTCTCAGACTTCTTTTTTTTTTTTCAGTACTGAGGTTTGAACCCCATGACTCTTGTTTGCTAGGCAGGCGCTCTACTACTTGAGCCACTCTACCAGCCCTCAGATTTCCTCTCTTGACTGTCTTTTTTCCTGTACTTCTGAGCTTACTTTCTGGATGCTCTAGGGGTTTTGTTTTACAGTGTAGTTGGAGCTTCAGTACTAAAAGGAAAAAGGTTCAGTGTAGCCAGTATATAAATATGGATCATCTGTATATAGGTATTTATCTTAATTTGATATATCATAGTTTTTATTTCTAGAAATTCCATAGACGTCAAGCTCGGTTTTCTTAGGAGACAATTTAAAACATGCAGCCCAGGAGGTCCAGTTTTCTATTGCAGCTTGGAAGTTTTAAAATTTTCAGAGTAGATGAATAAATTGATTGCTGCTATTAATAAGCTAACAGACTGAAGTTTTGTAGTTCATAAAACTGAAAACTATCCATCTGGATAATCTCAAAAAGCTAGATGCTAGACAGATTGGAAAATGAGTTGGCCAAGTCTAGTAATTATGATTGAATTGCAACTTAAACACAGGCTTGCTAGATTCTAGCATTGTGGTAGGTAATAAGCCAAGGGGTCAAAAACTTGATCAGATTGATTCTTAAGTCACAGTTCTATGAAATTACTTGTGATGAAGTGGAAAATAATATGCATAGAAAGTTTTGAATTTCATTTATTCATACTTTACTACATTTGTTGATGACACAGCTTTAACCATCAAAATGGTTCGGATACCTGTGTTTGAAAGCCTGTCATTCTATTTTTAGGTAGGCATATACCAATATTTAAGTTTTATATTGACATCCTTGAATGAAAGAACACTTAGGCTGTTGACCGCCTGGGATTTTAACTCCTTTTGGCTTGAAAGTCCTGATTCCCACAAAATTTGATGCAAGTAGAGTATTTTAAAGTTTATATATCCAGTATTACGTTAACAAACTGTTTTCAGATACTATAGTCAGAAGAATTCATTATGACTAATAACTGTAGGGCTAGTGGATTTCATATTAACAAATAGGTAAAAATTTCTAATTTGATCATTTTTAAGAGGTTGCTATCTTCAACTAAATCTCTAAAGGTCTCAGTATAGCTTTTATGTTTTATTTGGTTGATAAGTCTTTTGTAATTTTTATTGTGCTGGGGGTACGTTACAATTTTATAAAAAAATTGTTTTTGTTTTTGTTTGTTTAAATAGAGGAAATATGCTGAAAAGACAAGTTTGTTTTATAAGTGTGTATCCAGCCTTTTGCAATGATTAAAAGAGGCAAACTCCCTGATAAGAATGCACTTAAGTTATGGTGAGGAGTTGGCTACTTATTAGTGATTTTGCTTAATATGCAAAAGTAGAATAATGAGCTGTGCACAGGTACCCCTAGCTACTTGGGAGGCTGAGATTGGGAGGTTTGTGGTTTGAGGCCAGCCCAGGCAAATAGTTTTGATACTCCCATCTCGAAAATAACTAGAGCAAAATGAACAGGCGGTTTGGCTCAAGTGGTGGAACACCTGCTTTGCAAGTTCAAAGCCCTGAGTACAAACCCCGGTCCATCATGTGAAGATAACTTTCGCCAGATTCTGTGGAATGGCTTAAGCATTAAGAGTGCCTGCCTAGCAAGCATGAAACCCTGAGTTCAAACTCCAGTACTCTCCACGCCCCCCCAAAAAAACCTCCACATACATACAGCCTCACTTCAAAAATTGAAAGTGTTTTGCAGATTGTTTAGTTAGTATGCTCCCTAACTTATTTTCTTACTGTATTTAAATACAGACACCACATACCATATAATTTTATCCATTAACAGATACAATGCCCCATCACATCTAACAAAAGCTTGCTTATCTGATCAGTCTGTATTTGATGTCATCTGAATGTCTCAAAAAAAAAAAAAAACTTTTTGAATCAGGATTCAGCCAGGATCCACACATTGTTAATACAGCTCAGATTTCCTAGTCACTATGTACTTTTTCCTTCCCCATTCTCTTGAGTCATTTGTCTTGGAGAATTTCCCATATTCAGTATTTCATTATTGTGATGTTCCACTAGTCTCCCTTTATCCTATAAACTGGCCGAAGTGTCAGTGGATGCTAAAACTTGGGTGAAAAATTAGGAGACTTCATAGGAAAGTAGCTGGCTTCTTTTCAGCTAATTCCTTGGGGGAGTTGGGAGAGTATACTGAGAGAGCAGACTTTAATACACTTGTTGGAACTTCAGTCCCAGGTCTTCTAGGCTTGGGGGGAGGAAGGGGTTTTGTTCCGTGTTGGAGGGTAATTATGGGCATTCAGTAGATAACCTGGTGTTTGGTTGTCCCACTGGTAAATAGCAATTACCTTGTTTTCTGTAAATGTGTAGGTAACATTTTTTTCTCCCAGTAGTGATAATTCCTTTTTATGCTACCACTTAACTAAGCTTTCGGGAATTCTATTTTTGCTCTACTGACATTGTAGTTTTTATCAGGACACTTCACTAAATTTGGTGGGATAGAATTTTCAAAGAAATTTTGTTTTTAACAATGCCTGCTTTTCACATGTTCACTTCATGGTTTTCAATGTTATAGTTCTAAGGAATAATCAAAGATTTAATTATGAAGACTTGAATTTACCCTTAAATATCTTGGGCCTAGATTATTTCTAGTATTCTTTCAGATACTGTTAATGACAGTGTAATGAAGTGAAAGTTAATTTTAGAGTGTGTTTTCCATTTTTATGTTTGTAGTACTGGACTTTGAACTCAGGGCCTCACACTTGCTAGGCAGGTGCTTTACTACTTGAGCTGCACCCCTAAGTTCCCCCACCCCCTTGCCTTTTTTTTTTTTTTTTTAATGCTTTTTCAGATAGGGTCTCACATTTTTGCCTTTGGGCCAGCCTCAGACTGAGATCCTCCTACCTATAACCTCTTTGTCAAAAATGAGACTACAGAAATGCACCACCATGCCCAGTTTATGGGTTGAGAATGGGTCTTTTAACTTTGTCTGGTCTGACCTTGAATGGTGATCTTCCTGATCACCTCTTGAGTAGCCACACCCAGCCTAAATGCAGTTTTTTAAATTTGAAAAGTACGTTTTTTAAAAGCTGATTTGCTAAACATGGGCAGGTGTAGTTTTAAGAGCTGAATGGCAAGAACAGGCCTGTATAGTACTGTGATAGTGCTATTTCTTTTTATATTATGCTTTTCAAAGTACTTTAGAAATTGTTTTGTGTGTTCTCATTACAACTACACACCTGAGAACAACCTTTGCTTGCTTGTAGCATCAGTCAGATTCACACTCTGGCACCATCTGTGTATTGTTGGTAAGTTCTGTGTTCTCTTTAGTGTTTTTTTTGTTTTGTTTGTTCTGAGACAGTATCACCGTGTAGCCCAGGCTGGCCTCTAACTAATCCTCCTGTGCCTTTCCTGTGCTGGGATTATAGACATGCCACTCTAGTATCCTCAATATCTAGCTTCCTGAGGGTGACTGAAGGTTAAATGCAATAATTTACACAAGATGCTAGTGAATTATTTTCACCATTTCTTGATTTGATCCCTCTACTCTTAACAATTTTCCAAGAATTATTTTCCTGTTAATTTTTATTAGCCCTACCGAAACAATTACAAGTGAGCACAAGTAGAGGTTGTTTCCATTTTAACATTAGCACAGAATCTCTTTCCAATGCATCTGTGTTTAAACTGCATTCAATGTGATTGTTGATAATGTTGCATGTAGATCTACTGTTTTGCCATTTTCTACTCTACTTGTTCTTTGTTCCATTTCTTCTCTCTGCTTTATTGGGTTATTTTTTTGTGACTCCATTTTATCACTTTAAGTGGCTATACACCTCTCCACATATAGTATAAGAATCACAACAGTAAACTGCCATTTCTCCTGGGCTTTGTATATTATAACATTTTATCCAGCTATATGATTATTATTATTTTTGGTATTGGCGTTTGAACTCACTGCCTTGCACTTACCAATCAGGTGCTCTACTACTTAAGCCATGCCCCCCAGCCCTTTTACATTGGTTGTTTTTGAGATGGGGGTCCTTGCTATCTGCCAGGGCTGGCCTCCATCCACTATCGTCCTCCCAAGGCTGCCATTCCTATAGCTGGCCTACCCAGCTATATGTTAAAAGTCATAATACATTGTTGCTTTTTCTTTAAGTTACTGATTTTTTTTTTTTTTAGTGAGATTTAAATAGGAAAGTTTTTACCCAAATTGTTACAGCTTCCTGGGTCTTCAGTCATTTATCTAAATTTATTTTTCTATCTAGTATGGTTTTACTTCTGCCTGAATTATTTCCATTAACATTTCCTTTTTATTGTGGGTCTGATGGTGATGAATTCTTTTCAGTGTGTAAGCTCGAGAGTCTTTAGCCTTTTTGTTTGTTTTTTTGGGGTCTGGTTATGTAGCCCAGGTTGGCTTTAAACTTGTGATCCTCTTGTGTTTGCCTTCCCAGTGCTGAGATTACAGATGTGAGCCACCATGCCCCCACCCTCCCTTTTTGGGTAGATATTTCTGCTAGGTACAGAGTTCTAGGCTGACACAAAATGGAAGTTTTTCTGTCTTCTGGGTTGCATTGTTTCCAACCAGAAGTCTGCTATTTTTATTCTTTGTTACACATTCTTTTCTCTAATTGCTTTAAAGTCTTTTTCTTTGCCATTCATTTCAAGCAATTTGTGTGTGTTTTTCTTCATGTTTCCTTTGTCTGTATTCCTTGAGATTGTTGAATCTGTGAATTTACAGCTTTTATCAAATTGGGAAGAAATTTTCAGCCATTTCAAATATTTTCTTCCCCTTCCCTGTAGTTATACTTGGGAATGTTGTGCAGCCTACTGCACAACATTTTGATTTGCTATATTTTCAGGTTGATTAGTTTTTTCTTCTGTATCTAATCTGCCTTGAGTTTCATCTAGTGTATTTCTCATCTCAAGTGTTATTTTAATCTCTAGAATTTTATTTTAGGTCTTGTAAGAAAATATCTTCCACATTTCTACTTACCTTTCTTCCTTGAACATATGGAACACAACTGTAATTTTCAACATCCTTGTCTATCAACTCTATTATTATTCCTGCTTTTTCTGGGTTATTTAGGAATACTGTGGTTTGAACTCAGCACCTCATGCTTACCAGGTAGGTGATCTACATTTGTGCCATGTCTATAGCCCTTTTTGCTTTAGTTATTTCTCAGGTAGGGTCTTGTGTTTTTGCCTGTGCTGGCCTGAATTGCCATCCTCCTACTTAGCTTGCCATCATGCCTGGAAGGTCTCTTCACCAGTGTCTGGAAAGCCCATTGACATTTAGATTTTCTAGTTTCAGATGGGAGAGTAAATCTGGTTGGTCCCTGTTAGTATCTGCATTTTAAAAACTAAAAACAGGGTATCAAGAATGCCCCATTGACTTCAGGTTCTGTACAGAGTTCAGAAATAGGTGGCAGCCAGAGCTTGTACTTTCTGTATCCCTTGCTATCTTCCCTGGCAAGACTGCAGCACCTTTGATAACTAGGACTTCCAACCACCAGAACCCAGAGTTGTGAGGACACAAGCAACAAGTCTCCCAGAGGTCATAGGGAGTGATGGCTAGTGGGACCACTCCTCCTCTCCATGGTTCCTGGACCCATGCATTCTTATGGGGAGCACAGCATCATAGATCACTGGTTTAACACATACCACATCCCAAAGGATGGCCTCTGTGTTGGTGCTTTATCCAGGCTTTCAGAGGAAGTTGGCTTCTATGAAGCTGGCTACTTTTGGCTATTGCAGGATGCAGTGACACCAGTGGAGTCCATGGTCATGGACTCACCCATCTCCTTTGCTGAAATCCTTGGTTGGATTCCATATATGTGGATGGGGCATTTTGCAAGGATAGCAGTATTGGGTGAGGCAGTTTGGATGGGAAAGACATGATCATACCTGGAGAAGTAGTTGTCCCTGTGAGGGACAAACCACTGGCCCTTTCTGGATGGAGTCCTAAGTCATCCAGGTAGCCAGCTGGCTTCTGAGTAGTGCCATGGCAGGGGTTCAAGTTAGTGCACTGCTGGACAGGTCAGCATTCAGAGATGCCAGTAGCTAGGCTGAGCTTGGTAAGCACTATAATCATGTTTGGTAATGCTATACACATGACAAGAGCAGGTCCGTCCTCCATCTGCCCTCTGCACTGGGCTGGGCTCCCTGGCCTTGTACATTTGGTCAGTGGGAAACCCCAGCAGGTGAGAGACATGGAGCTCCCTTCCTGCTAAGCTGAGGGTTTGCGACTGTGTCCTGAACCAAAGGTCACAGCACCCTTGGAGCAGATCTGGATTCCCCAGCAGTTTTCTCCCCTCACCCACCAGGCTAGGGATGGCAGTGGCCTCCCACTGTGCCTATCCCCAGAATGCTGCTTCCTTTGGCATCCCCTGCTGGCTTCCCTTTATCTGCTTTGTGAAGCGGCTCTACAGTCAAGCTGTCTTCAATCATCCTTTCTGAGGATGCCTTCTTTTCCTGCCAGGACCCCAGCTGACACAAGTAACATAGAGTGTTTTCCTTCTTGCCTTTTAAAATGAGTTGCAGACGGTAAACATTTTCATCTTAATTCACTTAGGAAATGTTTATTGAGTATCAACTATGTGCCAGATAGTGTTCTGTTCTTTGAGAAGGCAGTAGTGAGTGAAACAAGGGGCCATAGTTAAAGGGTAACTTCAGTGATAAGTGCTCAGTCCCCTGAATAATCCTTCAGAAAGGGACTGGGGGTAGGAGCTCCTAGATTGGGCAGTCTGGGAAAGCTTTTGAGGGACAGCAAGGTTGAGGACCTGGAGACCTTGACCTGAAGGATGAGGAGGAGGAGAATCCAGACAGGGAGTTAACAGGCAAAGGCAAAGGCCTGGGTGACCAATGATCTTAGCTTGTTCAATACACAGAAGCTTCTGGAACACAGTGAACAGTATATGCAGTAGCATTAACATCAGCAGATGATGGGCAACCTATCTGTGTTTGAGCACGAGCACTAACTTGTAATATGCTGTTGGCCTTTTCAGAGTAGAGCATCAAGTTTGCTTAGCAAGCACTTTTCAAATTATTTGAACATACAGTAGATTTTAGCGCAGGACCAAGACTATAACCATCTAATATAACCCCAATGTAAAAAGAGTTGCAGAAATGAGGTACCAGCCATCTTCTATTTTATTTCAATATCAGAGGTACTCTCCACCCCTGCTCCTCTGCGTTAAGGAGTAGAGGAATGTGTTAGCTGATCGTCTCAACAGGTTTAGGAGATATGTTAACTAGCCACAGAAATTAAGCAAACAACTATAAACTTGAAAGACGATGGATACAACAGGTCTTTGTCTAGAAAACCACGGTGGTGGCCCAGATTACACTGATCCAAGCTAGTGGTTTGTTGTTTTTAACTGATCTTACAGGAAAAGTTTCTTGGGACCCATTTTAGGTATAAACGTGCCTGGTAAAGCCTTGCCAGCAAGCAGAAACCCTGGCCTGACGTCCAGCCTTCCTCTCCTTTCCTGCCAAGACTGCTGGAGCCACTCCTGCAAATGAGTTTCATTCTCTTCTCTGGACCCAGACGTATACCAGAACTTTCTTCCTTAACTCCCGATGTAAACCTGCAGAACAGGTGCAGTTTCCGATTAAATATGGCGCAAACTTGATCACTATTTTTGGCCAAGTTTTTCCACTATAGAATTGTCATCAAATTCAGCAAAAGTAGGAGTTCCTTTATCACATCGTTGCCATTTGGTATAGTCTGTTTTCTCAACTGAAAGCTCTCCCTAGATCAAAAACAAAGACCTTATTATTTCTGTTTACAGCACCAATGCCTGGCACATTACAAATGGCGAGAGAATGAAGATTCTTAGAGACGTCTTTCTTTTGGCTCAATCTCCATCATGATGCGCTCTCAATGCGAATGCGCGGAGGTCACTTTCGGCCACCAAGCGGCGCTAAGCCACCGTCTAGGACGGGTTCACTAAATTTTTCACAGGGTCGAAGTTTTGAAGTTCTATTTAAAAGTGTCAGAAAGGTTAATTCACAAGTTAAGGGGAATGCTGCCCAGGCACGGAGGGTGCCCCAGGCAGGGGTGGGCTGCGGAGGGCGTCCCTGGGTGCGCATCACACCCTTTGTGATCGCAGGGAGGACTCGGACAGGGAAGTCGCCGAGCCGCTCACGCGGGGATGGGTGCAGCCCGCGCCCGGGACCGGTGAGGGCCGAGGGCCGCGCTGTGCTCGGGGTCAGCCGGGCGCGCACGGGTGGCTCCCGCGGGCGGCTCACTTCTGGCCCCCGCCCCCTTTCCTCCGCGGGGCCGGCCGGGCCGCTCCTCCCCTGGGTGGGTCCGGGCTCCTTTTCTGGCAGGGTCTATTTGCATAGAGGAAACTGCCCAAAGTGGCCGCTGCGGGAGGAGCTGGTGGCGAAGGGGGCGTGCGCCGCGATCCGCTGCTGCTGGAAGGCCGAACCCCGCGCCCCGCCGACCTCGTGCCTCGGGCTCTCTCAGCCAGCGGCCCCGCGTTCTGCACCGCCCCCTCGGAGAACCCACGCGCGACCAGCGCGCCATGAGCCCGGGCGAGCGCGCCGGGGGCGGCGGCGACTCACGGCAGAGCAGCGCGGCGGACGGCGGCGGCGGTAGCGGTGGTGGCGGTGGCGGGCGTCCCGCGACGACGGCCGGGACGCGGGCGCTGAGCGTGCTGTGCCTGCTGCTGTCCGTGGGCTCGGCGGCCGCCTGCCTGCTGCTGGGCGCCCAGGCGGCCGCGCTGCAGGGCCGGGTGGCGGCGCTCGAGGAGGAGCGCGAGCTGCTGAGGCGCGCGGGGCCGCCGGCCGCCTGGGCCGAACCGCACCTGGAGCGCCTGCTGCGTGAGGTGAGGCGCCGGCGAGGGGGGGCGGGGGCGGCCCGCAAGAACCGGGTGTGTCCGGGCCGGCGGCTGTCGCTCCGAGGAGGGGTCGCCCCCAGCTGTGCACACGCGCCGGCATCCAGGCGGACCGTGCGGGCCGGAGCTTGGGGGTGCTGGCCCCCCGCTTCTGCCTCAGGGTCGTGTGTCGGGGCTTGTGGCCGCGGGGAAACAAGCCAACAGGACGTTTGGGGACGGGCAGGGGGAGGGTAAGACCATGGACTTAGAGTGACAGTCCTGGGAGCGAGTCCCCACGGGTGCGTGCGCTCGGACACCCCGCTTTTCGCCTACCGTGAGCGCCCGGGATAATGACCAGGCTCGTGCGGGAAGTACGCGGTAACTCTCGTGCCCATCGCTGGTCCACCTGGAGCGCCCGGCGGGGGCGGGACTCCTGCGACAGACCCCCAGGGCCAGGACTCAGGGGGCTCTGGTCAGCCGTCGGTGCCCAGGAACGTTTGTTTAGAAGCAGTTCCAGCCTGAATTTGCTGGGCTCCCAGGCTGCTCAGGCCCAGGGCGCACCCAGTGCAACCGCAGGGGACGCTCACCGATTTGATAGGATGAGAAGAAGGAAGAGTCGGGAGACACCTGGATTCCTGGTGTTCGGGCGGTGCCACGGGCTCGTTCTGAGTGGCCTCCTGTATGCTTGTTGATAGCGTCCTATGGGCTCTGCGACACATAAAGGTTAACATTGCTGGTGGGTGTCTTTAAAGCAGGAGTCACATTGGGACCTCAAAGTCTCATCCAGCATGTTGGACGGGACCTCCACCCTTCCTGCAGCAGTTTGCCTCTGGGACAGGCACCGGGCACTGGCCAGAGCTCCCTCTGGCTCTGCCACCTCCCTCGCCTGAGTCATCCTCCTTCTGGCAAAGGTGGCTGCCCCAGATTCGAAGAGAATGCCCAAGGGGACGTCTTCAGGTGTAGTAGAGGGGGTGGGAGGGCATGGTATACTGTGCACAGCTGTGGTCTTTATTCATCTATAGAGCTGTGTAGGAGCTGGGGGTGTAGCTCAGTGGTGGACCCCCAGCACCAAATACACATATATTGAGCTGAGTGTATCCATGGTGAAGTTAATCTGGAAGCAGGATGGGAATGGAAGTCTGGGCTGCACCTCCTGGTTCACCACACCTATTTCTTAGTCACTTTCATTTAAGGCAGTGTTGCATCTCTTCTATTTGATTCTGGGCAAAATTGCTGCTTCCTAAAATGATTTGCTCTTTTCCCCCTTTGAAAGTGCCTGCAGGCTTCAGAAATCTCCCTCAAGCCCTGCTGGCAACTCCTGGGGATGGTTTCATAATTGCTGCCTATTATCTTTTGGCAAGCCCCTAGAGACAAGTGTGTTGAATTGATTTATGGAGGCCCAGTTGAGTTTCTACCTGTGAATGCTGCCACTGCTCTGTTCTGTCAAACAGGAAGGGTCCTCTGGTTTAGGAAAAACCAGCCTCAAGCTCTGATTGAGTAAATCAGAAATTGCAGTTAGACCTTTTTACAAGAACATACAAATTGTGTCTGTGCTGATGGGGAGAGGGTCTCTTCTTTAGTCCTGAACTTCAGCCTAGACTTCAAGGTTGCGTCCTGGATTTTAATTAGGGAACTATGGTGTTTGAACAATGAGTTAGTGAAGAGAACTTGCTCACTCTCCCCTCTTCTTCTTCCCTTTCTCCTTCTCCTCTCTCTTCTTCCTCCTTCTCTTGATCAGATAGGCAAAGGAATCCTGAGGTTCCCACTTGATGATCTGCTGTGCCCTATAACACAGTGTTCTATAGCTAAGCAGGGGTCAGCATCCGAGGTATGCATTATGCTTGGCGCATAAACTGGTCCCCTTCCCTGCTCTTGGAGAGTCAGAGATAGCCCAGTACCAATGTGGTCTCTGTGTTTGGGTGTTCCTAGTGAGAAGGCATCTCTCTCCCAGGGGACCAGTCCTTTCCTGCTACCAGCTATTCTTCTTGTAAATGCCTCTGGATGGGAAATGTACACAGCTTGGTGACAGTGAATTCCCTGGCTGAGATGAGAGGACTGCAGGAGGCACATTATGGGGAGGCAGTAAGTGGCTTTAAGTGGATATGTAGATACTTTTCCAAACCTTTAGATATGAAGACAGATCTGTATTGACCTGCATGTCTCTTAAGGAGACATTTGTCCTGGAACATGTTATCCACTTCTGATTTGTTCTTCCTGAGCCTTTGTGAAGTCAGTGCTGAAGTTGTGAGTTGTGTATGAGGGTGCCTGCAGCTTGTCCTTTTACCAACTAACTCCTTTTCAGAGTTTTGGAGGCAGAAACCACGGCCAAATTAAAGAAAAGAAATCTCTGCCAACCACACACAACTTTAATGTCAGAAAAAAAATAAGCCAACAAAAGCCACTGTTTATAGGAGACCCACTCTTCCTGTTCCCTTGGGAACAAAACTGTGACATAAATTTTTCTGGGACTGGCTGATGTGCCTGATAAAGTAGATAGAGAAGCTATAGAAAAGGAATATTCATGCTCCCTCATGATTATTAAAGACCCTTTGCATGGTACAAAAGGGAAGATATGGGCTTTAGAATATAAAAATCAGATCTCTGAGTAAGTATGATCTGAAAATTCATGCAAAAGGAAACCTGTAACATGTTAGAAAACCCTTTGAAAGCTCTTTAAGGAGATTGCCTAATTGATCCACCCTTCCAGTTACACCTCTAGTTACAGTGTTGCAAAAGCTTAGGCTGGAGTGTGTATAGCTCTCATACTACAGTAAGAAAGTTAATGCAAGGATTTAAGAAATAGTTGTATCCAGAGGAGAAGACCCTTTCCAGTTTACAATGGCTTTATTGTTGGCTGTTGGCCTTCTGTTGTCCAAACCAATGAGTTTGAACCCAAGATTAACCCAGAGACGGGATAGAATTCAAGTGCTTTCCTTCCCTACCGTCATGTATATGGGTTAAGTCACTGTCAAACTCAGAATCCAGTGTACCTCTGTCCACTTGTCAGGACTGCTCTATGGTGTCCATTTTAATAAGGATGCCTATTTTTTAATCCCAGACACAAATGAAGATGGGGAGTAAATCATTGCTGGATTTATTGCCTTGACATTTCCTGGCTTCCAAACAACAACAAAAAAACAAAACAAAAAACTTTCCTTCCAGTTATTTCCTGGCCTGCTTACTTTCACTCTCCCAGTCTTCTAGCCTTTAAAATGATTTTTTTAATGCTGCAGCTTGGGAGAGCTTTATAATAATAGCAGCATGTTTAGAACAAGAGTTGGAATATTCCTTTCACAGACATTTTTTGGAAGTGTGGAATGGGACGTTTGCACATTGGCTTTGAAGATTTGAGGCGCCGCTGGCTCCTGAAGGTGAGGACTCTAAACTGAAGGAATTCCTATGAGGAGATAGGGCAGAGTAGGTGATGCAAGGGGTTTTTCATCCGAAGAGGAGAGTTGGAGACCTGGTCTCATTGTTTGCAAGCTGTCTTCCAAGCTGAGCTTCACCTTCTTCCTTTCTAATATGGTGGTCATAAGGACATATGTAATAAGAAGCAAATAAGCTAATGTAGAGAAAAGTCTTGGTTGATGGCAGGGTTTAGATATGGTTTGACTTTGTCTCCCAAGGGATCATGTACTGGAAGTTTGGTCCCTAGGTTGGTGGTGTGGTCCTTTAAGAGGTAGAGCCTAGTGGGAGGTCCCTAGGTCAACTGTGGGCATGCCTTGTAAGGAATTGTGGAACTCCAGTATTGCTCTGGCTTCCTGTTTTGCATTGTGATCTCTTCTCTCTCTCTCTCTCTCTCTCTCTCTCTCTCTCTCTCTCTCTCACACACACACACACACACACACACACACACACACACACACAATCACTTCCTACTTCACAGAGACCAGAACAGTGGGGCCAATTGATTTTGGACTTTTAGCCTCCAAAACTGTAAGTTTTATATAAACCTCTTTTTCTCTTTTTGTTATAAAGTAGTCTGTCTCAGAGATTTCATTATGGTAATGGAAAACAGATTAGTACTGTCAGTAAGTATGTTTTTCACTGGGAGGTAATGGAATGCCTGAGTGTGGTCACTTAAATGTGACAGTCATTGAATTATCTTATGTAATCAGAGAAGCCTGGAAGACAGTCAGCAGATACTGGGTTAGTTCAGTGACTTGTCCACAAGTGGGTGTCAAACTGTATCTGCTAGTCTCTTGGTTTTTTTCTCATGGTTGCAAGATGGATACTGCAGCTCCATACATATGTCTTCACACAAAAATAGCCATAGTAGGGAAGGGGGCAGGAGAAAGAGCTATCTCCCTGAGGGGTTTTCTCTTTTATTGAAACCTGGGAGGAAACTTTCTCAGCTTGTTTCAGCAGAACTGCCTTATAGCCATCAACCAGAACAAGGCCATGTGGTTACCATGACCCTTTCACTGGTGAGGAGAATGGGATTGCCAACAAGACAATCTTGATTCACCCCCTGGGGCTGGGCACATTGCCACTGAAGTAGAATTGAAACCTTGTTAGGAAGGAAGACTGAGGATAGCTGTTGAGGAGCAACTAAACAGTGTTAGCTAGGTGCTGTAGAATGTTACTGCTGTTAGCCCAGGGGAGGACGGAAGGGTGGGCAGTCGTCCGTCTTCTGGGCTCTCATAGTTTTCGTAAGTGCGCTCTATTTCCATTTTTGTGTTTCCTAGGCTCCACGCTTGGGGACACTCTGGGATTCCTATTATCCATATCCAGCCTTGCCTCCAGCCAGAGGTAAAGAGAAAGTTGATGTGTTTGAGATGCCCTCTGGCATAGTTCTGTTTTTTGCTGTTGTGGTGGGTTTTCTGTTAGCATAACAACCTATCATTTATAAAGAAAAGAGGTTTATTTCACTCACAGTTTTGGAGATAAACAGTCCAAATAGCCTGGAACTGGCTCTGGCAGGGGCCCCTAACTATGTCACTTCATGACAGATGGCATGACAGTGACAGGAGCACAAGCTCTCCCATGGTGAGACAGGAAGGCAGAATTGG